TAAGAAAAGTCAACGCCAGTCAATGCATAGCTCTGAACCAATGCCGGTCAACGCGTTGTGACGGAGATAATTAGTTCAAAGTCTACTCAATGACACAAGCTAAAACCAACTTACCAAGTTCGATTCGAAACTTCGACGACGGACAGACGATAAACGTAGCGTCGGAAGAACTTCAGCTATTCATCAAAATAGACTAAAAATCAAAGAAGTCAAGAATCGAAGCTAACTACAGGTTCTTTCACACCGACTAAAGGTTGGACCGATCACATCCAAAGTATTTCAGGCTCTTCTATAAAAGAATCAAGACTGAAACACTTTGGAGGGGGTATCTGTAGGCGTTAAAAATTACCCACGAATTCCCACACACAACTTGAGTCAGAGAGAAGATGATGAACATCACTATCCGGATCATAGAAGCTTAATTGATGTTGATAAACGCATGAAGTAAGTCGACGAACTGTGTGGAGCAACAGAACTGCAGAATAACTGATCGGGAGCTATGTTTTACTTACGAAAGACGAAGTGCCCCTCGTGTCCCATCTAATCTACATATGATTCAACAATGGAAGCTTGTAGATCTTCTTGTTGGCTTTTCTTCGTACTTTGAATTGCGTAATTCTGAGTTCGGACAATGAAGATACGATAAAAACGGACGGGACACACGAAACAATGCCCCGGGCCTTAGTGGAGACACTCCAAGTGTCTCAGCCTTGGTAGAGACCGTCTCGCTTTGAATCTGAAGGAGATCAAAAGATAAAAGTTGTAGAACTCCTTATTAGCTTTCTAATGTATCTTGGATCAACTCATAATGTACATACACAAGCTACAACCTCAAGTGTTGGTCCTCACGTATCGACTCCCTCAAGTGCTCGGAATTATCACCTCTCACTAGGCCACCGACGCCACTCCTCTAGGTATCAACTCCGTCCTCACCACACACTCCTCTTGGTGTACAAGTATATTACAAGTGATCTCACGATAAGCACGAATATAATAATGGTTGTTCTCTACACTTGACGAGAACTCAATTAAGCTCACTCTTACTAAATCACACACCACTACCCAACAATATATTATATGAGATATAACAAGCTCAATAAGGGTGCGTGATAAATGAGTTTAAATAAAATCTAACTCAATAAGAACTAGCAATAAGATTAATAAGAAATAAATGCTAGAAAGTTGAGTTAGGAAAACTTCTCTACAAAGAGAGGATGATTGGATATTGAGAATGAACTCCTCAACAAATGATGTAAGCTTCTCTTTGTAAAACAAACTCTTTTTCAAACCAAACTTGAAACAAGGGTAAAACACCTCTTAAACACAAACTAAACTCTTTCAAAACTTGATTAATGAATCTTCTTGATAGTTTAAGAGTTCAGAGCATATGGGTATATATAGCATCTCAATACTTCAGTTAAAACCCAAAGAAAAAGACCAAAAAGCCATAAACACATAAAACAAAAAACTAGCCGTTACTGTACAACGGCTCTCTGATAAGTCGACTTATGAGTCGACTCATGAGTCGACTTATGAGTCGACTAATGAGTCGGCTTATATGAGTCGACCCAGCAGAAGAAAAATTACAACTCCGCTGCAATTCGTGAGTCGACTTATGAGTCGACTAAACATGCACATACCAGATTTGCACAGGAAAATAGAACTTTAAACCATGTTTAAACATATCAAATAAATTTTAAAAATTGTAAAATTTGGGGTATAGTTTATAAACATATAAATGAGCATGTTTCAAAAGAAATTTTCCAAATGTGATTCTCTGTTTGTAAAATCTCTTAGTTTTGCAAAAGCATGTAAAACGAGTGTATATTATTCTTAGTTTTGGACAATTGAGATAAACAAGGATATGAAACCTTTTCAAATGAATTTATAGACTAAACAATAGTTATATAAAGTAAATTTTAAGTCTATACACTAATATCTCAGTATATTGTCAAAATCACATTAAAACCAAATGTGTGTGTTATGTGGATATTGAGTTTGAGATATATTCACACAATATAAAGTCCTACTCTAGTTGTACCAAGATGATATGCATGAGAAGCTAAATCTTGGAACAAAACAAATACTGAAAAACATATTATAAATTGTTTACAAAATCATCAAAACAAGATTCAAAAGTAGGCTCATATACATGAGTCCTAACAGGATGGATGGTTTACTTTTGAAAAGATTGGAGGAGGAGGTGAAGAGAGGTGGATTGTGAATCTTTAGTTGAGATGAGTGTAAGAGGGCAGAGAATGGCTTGTTGAGGTGCAGAGGAATGTGAAAAGAGTGTTGATTTGGTGGAACAGAAGGCGGAGAGGTGGTGGTGGGGAAGAAATGATGATGCTACCTCCATTAGTGGTGACGAGAAGCCGCTTTTGTGTCCCGTGCCGACGCCTTTTCGAATCTCCCCAATCTCCTTCCAAATCGCCTTTTCTTGAAGTGTCCCTTTGTTCTTAAATATCTCCTAAATGCTCTAATTTACTTTAGAATATAAAACAAGTGTGCTTCTGTGCAATCACATGTATACTATACTAGTTTGAAAAAAAAGACATATTGTGGATAAAGTGGATCCATGAGTCATATTTAAGAAGTAATAACACATAGAAAAGCTAGTGACTCCTGGTTTTAGAAAACAATTGATTAAACTTAAAAACAAAGCAGTGGATAATTGGGGATCTAGTGAAAATATAATAAACAAATTTGAGAGAGGATGTTAATATAAAATATATATATAAAGGTTAGTCAGAGCTTCTTCCTATTCATCAAGAGATTGCATATGTGGCACAATACCGTGTGGGGTATATTCCATATTCCTAGACATTCTTAGGAATTATGGCTTATGGCTCAAAAAATACTTCTCATTCTTGACAGATTTTGTAAGATTCAGATTGATTCTTCTAATATTTGTAGTCTACGTGAAATATTGCCTGAATAACATAACAATCTATTCTTTGGATATCAATTTTCTATGATGGAGCTGCTTATGACCCCAACTATCAGATTTCGTCGAATTAGATCGGCAGGATAAGAAAGAAGTCCAAAATCTTTTGAAGCTCAGGCGACACACGGATTTGAACTGGGGATAAAGGATTTGCAGTCCCCCGCCTTACCACTTGGCCATGCCGCCAATGGTTTTTTCATAATTGGGAAAAGAAATTTTTTGTTCTTGAAGCAAACATTTCTCCCCCAACTTGCTTTGGCTACAGTAATTTACTACCTATGGTTGAGAGAGAGAAATGATAAAGTTCATAGCAACATTAAGGGGCTGCTTGGTTGTTGGATTTATCTTTTGAGTATATAACAATGCAAGAAATCAAGAAATCCATTATTTTCTAAGATTTAACTTTTTTGTTTGATTTGTAAAAAAATATGATGAAAAGTCAGCATCTGAAAAGAAATTCCTTGAATTCTTATTTGTTTGTAAGCTAAATGATAAAGTTTTGAAGTTATTGACGAGTCCCATTAAAATAGTTAAATTTGTACTTAAAAGAATAAAATTTTAAGTTTTAGAATCTTTTACGACTTTAAACAATAATTTAGAGCTAGCGGATCCCATATACTAAGTAATTCCCACTCAAATCCTCCCTATTCGATAGGATTTCTGAACCAGCTCTGGATCTGTATGTTAGTAATGTGGCATCCACTATCCAACTTTTTGATTCGATCTAATAAGCATATGATTTTGCTCCAAGATTTTAATCCCTCTGTAGGGCCCACTTTTCTGACATGAATCTTGTGATTTCTTTTAAGATTCAGGTAAACAAATAAGTTCTATGAAGAATTATGATCAGGTGTAAAGCTGATTAAAGTCTTGATCTTTGTAGTTCTATATAAGGGCCGATCCACAGCCTAGCTAGGGGCGCAGTTGCAAACCTAGATATTTATAAATTTATATAAAATGTATATTTTATATCCACTGCTCCATGAATTTTAAAAATTGCACCCGAGGTATCTAAAAAACACAAAATAGTTAATAGCAATTGAGAAAACAAATAGGAAAGTAGAAGCCCGTTTACATTTTTAACAATAAAGTATAATAAGTACATTTACATAAAAACTATATTTTTATAATATTATATTTTTATTCTTAGGTAAAAAGGCACTTAATGTCCACCCCTCAAGAAAAAATTTCTGATCTGCCCCAGTTTCTATAACATTATAAATTATCTTTTCATATAAAGTGTTTGTCGTAGTCATTGTAATATTCATAGATATATAGCAGTTTTGAGAGAGGATACTTTACTATTTAATAGTATGTTTATCAGTTGATGACAATTTTGAGCAACTGTATTATCTTGGGTATGCCTAAGTATGGTAAGCAATTCTCAATTAGTTTAATTAAAAAAAAACTATTCATTGAACCGAAAAAAAAGGCGCACTCACATTTGGACTTCCGAACAAGTACCATTGATGTGCAACTCTTGTTCTTTGAATTCAATTTCCTATTCTAAAGTGTGTTTGGTAACTACAAAAAGAGACTAAAGTAGAATTAATTTTCCTTAAACAAAAAAAAATTAGTTTAACTTTGGTCTAACTTCTGCCAAACTGAAAATTAACATTTAGGCCAATATTGTATCCAGTAGAAGTAGTTTTGTAATTTACGGAGCACACCGTTAGAATCAACCATGAAATTCATGAAACCTTAGATTTCATTTGGGTCGGGGTCGGGTAACAAAAACATCCGCCACTATCCACCCAGATCCGAACCGTCAATACGAACTTTATCGTTTCGACCGAGCTCGCTTCCGATGACGTGGACTAATCATTTCAAAGCTCAAACTCCGGCCCGAATACCGCCACGTGCCAAGCCTCACGTGACACCGCCTTAAAAAAAGGCAAGGCAAACCCCTCCGCGAGGCCCCAAGCTACCGTTGCGTCCATGGGAGATGCACACGCGTCAGTAGCGCGCTGCTCTATGTAACGGGCGAAGACGAACCCAAAATTCTAACGTCACCAAAAGAGCGGCTCTATCAACTCTCGGGCCCCACTCGCTAAGACGGTGACACGCGGCATGTTCTCAGACTGCCACGTCAGTTCACGGGTCATGTCATGACCCTATGTATATATTGTGCCTCCGTTTCTCTCTTCGTTCCATCTTTTTACTTAGCTTGGTATCCTGCTGCTGCTTCTTCTTCCTGAAATCGGATGGAGTTCAATAATGCTAGAAAAAAAGCTTTGGCAAGCTTTGTTGTTTTAGCTCTGATGATTATGATGGGTTTTGTATCTCAGTCTTTGGCTTATGATTTCTATGTTGGTGGAAAGAATGGATGGGTGCCTAATCCTTCAGATCCGTACAATAATTGGGCTGAGAGGAACAGGTTTCAAGTCAATGACAAGCTAGGTAACGTTACATACGTGATCACTTGATTATTTCATGTCCACTGATTCAAACTTTGTAGTTGTAAATTGTAATTAACGCATGCCTTGGTTGTAATACTCTGTATCCTCTCTCCAGGATCACTCAATTGAGTGTTTTTTTTATGGGTTTAAACTTATGCGTTTTTATCTTTTTATTAACAAACCCGATTTATTAAATGCAATCTTTTCTAAATTTACTGTATTATGGGTTTTTATGAAATTTGGAACTTTTCTAGCATAAAACCAGTTTAGTTCTAGACCGGGAGCGAGATCAAAACATTTGGCCTAGAAAAACCAAATTTGAAGTAAAAGATTCAATTATTTGTCACCGCTAAGATTATAAATGAGGGTTGAGGGTTGTTCTCGGGTTGAGGAGTTTTCCATGCGGTCAAAAATAATTAGAACTTTCATATCATAAAAACGTAAATTATGATGTTTAATTAAGCGTTAAGCTCAAAGTTAATATTAAGTAAAAGATATAGACCGATAAAATTTACATGGACGACCGTTCACTATAATAGGATATATAATTGTAATCTAGGGATTTAGGATCTGAATGCTAGTGATTGGATTGTTTTGTATATTTTTTTTTGGATGGCCATTCAAGCTTTATTGATTCAAGTGATGCAATGCAGTGTTCCACTACAAAAAGGGAGAAGACTCTGTCCTCCTCGTAAACAAACAAGACTACGACTCATGCAACACAACCAAGCCCATAAAAAAACTCGACGATGGCCACTCCATCTTCAATCTCGACCGCTCCGGCCACTTCTTCTTCATCAGCGGTGATCACAACCGATGCCAGAATGGCGAGAAATTGATTGTTGCCGTAATGGCAATGAGCCACGGCAAAGGGATTCCTCCGGCGTTGCCTTTCCCTCTGCCGCCGTCACTTTCCCCCTCAGGTTTGCCTTCAGGGATTTCACCGGCTCCGTCCGT